TAAAGGCTTTTGTGACTGTTTTAACAAAAATGAATGCATATTTATTCTTAGTTCATATTGAGACCTGTAGGACAAGGACCTTAGCTCCATAGTTCCTGAATAGTCATTCTGTAATTTTCTTGTCATTTTCTAACTCGATACCTAAGATATTAAAAATAAATGCAATCTCATAAGTAATCTGTCTAATTTTTTCTCTTTCAAAATTAAATTACTAGATTATTATTTTTCCTTAATAGGTTTAATAAGGCAGGTCTAGAAATAAAATTTTTCAGGGACCACCTTATGGAAATGCAATTTTGAGGCTCAATTATTTCAGACATGGCTGAGAGGAGATGCTGGATATAATGACTTGCATGATCTTGGGTTTATTGTATAACATCTCTGAGTCTCAGTTTATACAAATGTAAAAAGGGACATGGAAACAATCTGGTATTTATCCAGGCTGAGGATTCCATAACTGTACTTAGGAAAGTGCGTGATAATGGCTGGCCAACTGGGTTGGAGCCCACTCTACTGCTTAGGAGCCATGTGACCCTGAGTGAATTGCTTCACCCCTCTCTACTTTAATTTCTTCATCTTGGAGTGGGAATAATAATAGTATTTACTTTATAGCATTTTTATGAGGAATTAAATGAGTAAAAGAGGTCAAATATTTGGAAGTTATTAATAAGTACTATATTATTGTTTGCTGTTGTTATTGTCCTTGATGTCGCCATTATCAGAGTCTCAGTTGAAAACACACATATATATGTGTGTTTTCAAATATATATATATATATTTTTTTTTTCCGAACTGTGAACTTGAGAACACTGAACAAAATCAATACTATTGGTTTCTTACAGTTTTGTAAGGACCACAGCTGAAAAAAATTTGAAGAAATGAGGGATGCTGGACACTGGGAAAAACACAGAGGGTTTTTCGAGGCCTTTCTCTTGTGGCATTCTGACTGAATGTAGAGGCTCTTGTCAGCTGTCCGGGGAGGGTTAACTCACACCTCGGCGGGAGTCTCATGCCATTAAGTCAGGGAGAGTAATGAAATTTCATTTAATTTGTCAGGAAGAAAGTGCTAATGTTAAAAGGCATTTAATAAAAAAGGGAGAGATTCTTTGAAAGGGAGTCCTTAAGTAATTACTTCAAGTGTCTTAGCCCTACTCACCAGAATATTTACATTAGTGTCTTACAGAGCCAGTGTGTAATTAAATTAGTGCAGCATTTACATTCCCTGTCTTTCTTTAAGGAAGTATGATTTTATTCATAATCTTCCTTTAAAAAAAGTGGGGGGGGGATGACTTGATCGAATCAAATTAGATGTTAGTGTTTTTTTGATATATTCTTACTGCAAGAATTGTTGAGTGAAAGGGGTGTGTGTGTGTGTGTGTGTGTGTGTCAGTGAGCCACAATGATGAAAGCTATTTTGCAATTGCAAATAAAGAATAAAACAAGATAGTTTCTGTCCTAGAAGGATGGGAAAAATAAGACTGCAGAGAACACTTTTAAGTTACAATTTTCTTGTAAATGGACCAAGGCTAATGGTTTCTATTCTAGAAGCCTAGAATCTTAATTTATCATGATTAATAAATAAACATCCTTCTTCATTTCTTTCTATGGACCCTCTCCATGGAGGGTGGTTAGGGTTATCTTGAAATATCTGTAAGGGACAGGATTAAACTGCTTACCTTAAAATACATAACATATACTCATGTGTCTGAAGCATTTATAAGAATCGTTATTGTTCAGGTTACGCCACCCACTGTGTTCAAGTCTTTCTCTCCATATCATGGTCCCACCAACCTAAATGTAGTTACTTTTAGCAATAGCCACTGAGTCATTTAGCTTTGGAAAATTACAAGAATAAAATAAAGACATCCATGAATGGCTCTTCATACTGACATAGTCTTATCAACATTGCCAATAAGGTTTTATCAGCTTCAGGCATGAGGCAAATCTATCTTATTAGAGTGAAAACTAATGAAAGATCATCCTGACAATGATAATTAATTGCAGTTGTTGACAAGGACTCCTTTCCTTTGCACTCCCTTTTCTGTTGCTCTTTCTCAGGCTTTCAGCTCTCCTCTCTCAATTACACATATGAAAAGTGAGGCCCTCCCCTTTGAGAAAGAGGCTTTTAGATTAATCATATTATCTTAGGGTTCCAAATCTCCATGCCTGCCTGACCTTTCTTCCCTTAGAATCCATTATCTTAAACTATCACAATAATCCTGGCTTTAGGGAGGGAGAGAGGGAAGAGGAATCAAACCTAATAGATGGCAAATAAGATTAATCTATGATCTAAGTGCCGATTACACTTGGCCCTGCCCTTGAACACCCAGGTGTAACCTTGAAATTCACATCCTCTAAGACATGGCAATTGGATTGAGTGTCCCTGACGGCCTCAAGGGCAGCTGGCCAAACTTTACCCATTACTCCCCAGTGAGATCCTGAGCTGTCTCAACCTCCCAACTCTTTTTACTTGTGGAATTTGGCAGCTGTGCCTTTTCTTGTTTGTTTTGGGATAGTTCACATTTTTTAGATAAAATACTTATTTTGGGTCCTTGATTTTTGTTTGTCAGAAGCACCCGGCCATGGAGGGAATGAACTTTTACCTGGACCTCACAAGAGGAAAACAAATGATCCAGCCCCTCAAAATCTGATAGCTGCACCAAAATAAATTCAAGATTTTGCTTCTCTCAAAACACTGACATACTGATCCCTAAAACTACATATGTTTAAGAACCAAGGGGAGGGAGACAAAAAAAAAAAAACCCTTGCAACATGTGTCTTCTGAACTTTGAGCTGATTATTTGTCTTCCACATGGTCTGAGGTCTTAGAAAGGACACCCTTTTGGGGAGATGGAACATGACAACGGGAAGGTCAAGCTACTGGTGACAAGAACAGGAAAAGGAATTGTGCTTAGAGAAAACAGTTTCAACCAAAGAGAAATATCACTCAGTCAAATAGAGAGAAGGGAAACAAAACTATAATGCATTCTCATTAAAAGTTGGCCCCGTCCCTTAAAATTCGATGCTAACCAGGCAGAATGTTCTCTCATCATGAACCTGTGCAGTCCAGACCTCAGGATGTATTGTCACTATGGAAGATAGGACTCAATTAAAACTAAAATAAGAGTGAGAAGGAAAATTAGTTCTAAACCTGGAAAAACAAGTGGTCTTCAAAAAGATGAGAGGTTAAACTTGGAGGCGGGGAGATACGACCATTTCTTCTGAAAAACATACCAAAATAAAAAGTGCCAGGGAGGGCCGGCCGAGTGGTGCGATGGTTAAGAACTGGCTTGGGATGCCAGAGGGCCCCGGTTCGGATCCCACATATGAGGGCCAGTGACACTGCCCTCCACAGNGTGGAGGGGCTGTGCTCCGTCCCCATTTCCACTTGGAGGGATGCCATCTTTTATCTTCTCAGGCCTGACATGGAGAGTCAGGTCAGCGACCACCGACTGTCAGCATATTGCTGTGCACATCCTTGTCTGGCCCAGGCTCTCTCTTCTACTTATCTGGGAGCAGAGGATGGATACGGATGTGTGAGTGGAAGGAAGTACTTGTGAAGCAGGGCGCGGCAGACTCGTCCCTCATCACGCCTCTGGTGAGCACAGAGAAGCTCGGCACTGTCACCATCAATGACAAGAGGGGATAACTGATGTGCCAGGAGTGTTGGCCAGCCCAGGGGACCATGACCGGATGGATTTGGACCTCCAGAGGCAGGTCACACTTAGGAAAAAGATTCTTAAACACTGCTCTGGAAGTAAGCTGCTGCCGTTTTCCAAATTGATTTATGAAACATTCTCATTTGTAATCTGTGCACAAGTAGGATGTTGAATGTTTTACTTTTATCAGGTTTGTTTTCTGTGAGGGTATAGTGGTTGCTGAGTTGAAGACAAAGTAAGTAGAGATATATAAAAGGAAATATAAATATACTTTACATAGTTGATTAGAAGACTGAGGTCAGGTTATCAGAAATATTTACAGATAATAAAGTGCTGATAATTCTAGCTATTATTATAACTACAGCTGAAGTGATTTTACTAAAATGCAAATCTGACCATGGCATTCTCCTTCTTACTGTCATTGAATGGCTTTCCATGGTCCTCAGTAAAAGCCTGAACTTTTCAGTAAGCCACGCATTGCAGCTGTTAATTTCCAAAAGTCTCATCCTTCAAGAACCTGCTCTTTAAAAAATCAGATCATCAATATGTATGAACTCCCTGACCTCGAGACCTTCACATGTTTTTCTGTGTGTCTAGAGCTGGCCTGTCCAGTACATTAGCCACTTGGCTCCTACGGCTATTTAAGTTTAAAAATATTAAAATTAAATAACACTAAAAATTTAGCTTCTCGTGCTCCCTAGCCACATTTCTAGCACTCAGCCCTATGGGGCTGGTGGCTACCATATTGGACAGTGTCGCTGTAGACACTGTAGATGCTGTAGAGTCCCTGGACACCGTAGGTCTACATGCTCAGGGAATCACGGCCTCCTGACCTCGTTAGCTTTGCAGCTTAGGTATCCCTTTCACAAGGAAGTCTTTCCTACCCCCACCCCGAGCCTTAAAGAAGAAAGAGTTAGACTGTCCTCTTCAACAGCCCTCAGTATGGAAGTTGCCTGTGGGCTTATCTGAATTTCCTGACCAACCACGAGTTCAGTGAGGCTAGGGACTCATCATCAGTACTGATCAGCATTATGCTGCGCCCACAGAGAGCAAATCACAGCAAAATATTGACGGAGCATTTACTCGGCGCCACTCGGCGCCATTCTATGTACTTCATATGTATGACTCAATCCACAAGTAAGTACTAGTCATCTCACTTAGTACGTAAGTGGGTACTGTTTGTTATCTCAATCCTACAATGAAGAGCCTGAGGCACAGAGAGGTCAATCACAGCTCAGGTCCTGTGGATATTAAAAGGAAGAACAGGGCAAGGCCAGGCAGCCTGACACCAGTGTTTATGCTCTAAGCCTCCCTGTCATTAGCACTCACACAGTGTTTCTAAAAGAATGTGGAGTAACAGGCACTAAAGTAGACAGCAATTAATCTTTCATAGCATCACTGCGTTTTAAAATTGTACCAGTTTTTCCATCAGCCTGACTATATAAAGTGTTGTTTTCTTTTAATAAGTGCTTTCTGATTTCTTCCTTTAGCTCTCGACTCTAGTGTGAATAAAGAATAGCACACCTGCTCTACCATTCAGAAACCTAAAGTTCAGAGAGAAGAAGCAAGATGAAAGGTTAGTGGGCTAACACTGTAAAGTCAGAGGAAGGCAGACTTGGCAAATATTCAAGTGACATGAGGCACACGGGCACAGAATCTGGGTCATCGACTTTGATTTTCCTTGGCTTTAATGTTTTCGTTTTCTGACTGCCCAAGTCATATCAATTAGCAGTATCATTTCTTTCTCATAGAAGCATGTGGTATTGATGCAAATTGTTAATAATGAACTAACTACACACTGTTTTCAACAGATTAAGGCTGTGTCTATCAATAGGTCCCCACTCAGACAATAAGCCTCATGACCACTGCATCACTTCAGCTATTAATAAATCAATACTGCGGTTATCGTCCTAGATTATTATTATTCTTGATTGAATGTTGACATTATGAAAAAGAGATAAAACATGTATTTAATACAAAATTTTGGTTAAGTGGGGTTCTCATTATGACTGCAACTTAAGACTTTATGTCTTTCTGCAGTGTCCAAATATGTGAGTAAATACAGAAATGAAGGATGAATTAAATCCCCAATGAGACTACATTCCATTTTGTTAAAAAAAAACTTAAAGTATAAAATGGGAAGCTTTATGTTCTAGATCTTGTATACCCAAAGGTAATAGCTAACTAACACTTTGATGATTTAATATCAGGCAAGCAATATTCTATGAACTTTACATATACTGACCTATTTGTTCTCGATCAGAAATCTGTAAGATTACTATCCTCATTATACAGAGGAAATATCTGAGGTACGGGGTGATAATAACTTGCCTCCATCATACAGCCAGTGAATGACAGAGTTGGGATTTGAAATTTTGTAGTCTAGTTCCAGAGCCCATTTCTTAACCACTGCCCATTATTACCTCCCCATCAACAGTCCAGGTGCCCACATAACTGCACACAGCAGTTCACACATACAGGAGGAGTTTAAATGACTTTTCTAAAGAAACAGGCATTGCAGACAGATCCTCCCAGATTTTTATGTGAGGATAGCATGTATGTGACAAATGCAATTTGGATTATCAACACGTTTAAAAGAGAAAAACTGGTGTCCATGTCTAAATAGGAAAACACCAGAAGATAATTCTAGTAAAACTGAGCTTTCCAATTTGACCAATTTACCTGGTTCAATGAAGAAACATATCAGGGAACAAATATTTTATAATGCATTTTATACCTCAATTTTCTTACTCTACAATACAATATCACTTTTGTTCAATAGGAGCAAAAAGCTTTAGTTGATGTTCGGAGAATTCTTCTAAGTTGGTGCCACTTAGTGAACCTTGATATTTAACCATGTGTGTCTGGCTACTGTCTAATATTGGTCCAAAGAAAGCTAAATTTGCAATCACTTTTCCCAAACATGAAGAAAAAAAGTAAAATTAAGACAGCTAAAAATATGTCCACAATTTCCTATTAGCAACAGCTTCAATCAAAACCCCAATGTAATTTTTTTCTCCCAATCATAAAGTGTCACTGATGACATTTTACAAATTTATGGACTGTATTCTTTCTTAAGAGCTATTTATAAAAACAACACAATGATTCGCCCTGGCATTTGGCCATCTTAGTTACTTAGCCGGACTGACAGTGGATCTGATCAGGTCTGCTATAATCTGTCCTCTAGATGAGAAGAAATAAAAAAAATTTTAGAAAATAAAGAAAAATAGAAGCTATGGAAAAAGTCAATTCAAGTCAATTGAAAACATGTCCCTGCTTTTTAAGACCCTGAAGTAGTTAAAAAAAAAAGTGATCAGTGGTTTTGACACTAAAACTCATTCTAAGGTGGGGAGGAAAAAAACAACAGCAGGCCACTTTGCTTTTCGAAAGAATGCTTTTTTTTGGAAAAAGTAGCATTCTGCAGAAGGACATAAAACAGCTAAACCCTTTAAATGCAATTAAAACAATTGCTGACATTATTTAGGGTTAAACTACTGGCAAAGAAAACATCCAATGACTGAAAATCATGTTTGTCGCATTAAAAAAAAAACACACACATATTGAAATGGGGGAAACAGACTCCAAAGAAATGACTTGTAAGGATGTGGTTAAAACTATTTATATATCGGGTTCTATTTGTTTTACAGCTAGTGGTGCACGGACAGCCTGAAAGGTTATCTTTGACAAGGTTTTAGCTATTATTTTCTTCCAGGGAAATGGTATTTCTTGAGAAAAAAAGGTCTTTGGAACAAAATAACAATAAATCCTGATTTAGATACATAAACCTGCCATTGATATCACATAATATCAGTGTTCTTTCTCACTCGATACAGGCGTTTTAAAGATAAATGGTAAAACTGAACTGGAAATCCATCTGGCCAGCTGCCTGCTCTAATGAATAACCCCACTTTGGCTCGTGCAATGTAAGCAGAAAGTTCTCTCCCGGCCTCTTTCGTCTGTCATGAATCTACGAGACAGCCGACATAATATCTGGGCGACAGCGGTGCGCTAACAGCGCAGTGACTTCCATTTTCTTTGCTTTCTATTGATTTTCACTTAATAACTGGCGAAATACTAAACGTCCGCCCTGAGTACCTAATAAATCCTGCCTGAGCTTTTTATTGAGGAGAATTTAATAAAAACAACCATTGCGGCAGAGGGATTTTTCTTCTGGACAGAACAGAGGGGTAGGGGACAGCGGGGTTGGGGCAAGAGGAAGCCATTTGATTTTTTTTTTTTTTTTGAAATGGGACTTGCTCCCCTTTGGAAAAGCAGTACCATGTCAAGGATGCCCTAGTGTTTGAACCAGGTTCCTTCAGAAATTCACTACATGCGGGCTCTGTGGCCAACATGAGGAAAGGATTCAAGGGCTTGGCAAAAACCAGCTTTCTGGTCCTCTGACACCTGATGTCAAGGTTTGGCCAAGGATTTCCTCACTGTTACCAGTGGCTGTCAAAAATCTATAAGAACATGCTATTTTACTATACTATTTAACCCTTATTTTGGATCTGATACTATTGTAGAAATGCAAGCATGACATGCCCATTGGAGTCCTCATCTACCTTTAACAGAACTCTAGATATTAAGACAAGTGGTAAACATCTGAGGGGCAAAGGCACATACAAATTTTTCCATTTTATGCTAACTTGAGGCTCACAAATTCACTTTTGGGGCAAAGTTCTTTCTTGGTGGCTTTTTAAAACCCAAAGAAAATTGGAAAGCATGGGTTCTGTGTCCCTCACCATCTTCCTCTGCATGAACTTCTAGAACAATTTCTGTTGTTGTTGCTTAATAAAACCTCTTTATCATGCGTGCTATGTGGTTTTTTAGAAGCATTTCATAGCTTATGGCTCCTTCCACTCTCTAATTGTAATTGATCTTGAGGCTATTTTCAAATCACTGGGCTTCCTGAACACATTTTAGAATGTCCTCCTGTATACATGCTCTTTCCATCCCATTCTAACTCAAGTTTCTAACCAAGAATCTATGTATTTAGAAAAGTGAAAAATAGAAATCTTCCCTTAAAGTGAAGGTTTAAAAAAAAAAATCAATGGATCTCAAGTTGGAGTATCGATGTTATAAAACTATAGTCACCCAAACAAAGCTATGCATGACTCAATTTCTCATTAAAGGTTCCATGGCAGGTTTTCCTACAGAATATGGCGACAGAGGCAGTATAACATAGTGCAGGCTTTATGTTAAAGAAACTCTAATGAAATCTTGGCTTTCAACAGATTTGGTTACTTTGTGTATGAAATGGGGATACTGTTGTCAGACAAACACGGCTGACATCACCTTGGTAAAAATCAGTAACTGTATGGGTGCTCAATAAATGATGTCAATTTATTTTACAGAGGTACCTCAATAATGAGTAGGGAGGGGTTAGTCATCTCAGTTAGGGTTTAAAATTGGCCAAATCTCAAAAATCACCTTTTTTTTCCTCCAGTTTACAGCTGTCCGACTTAACTCTTCTGTGCCTCAGTTTCCCCATTTCCAAAATGGAGCTAACATCAAAGTTTTTTGAAAAGTGTGAAAGGAATTAATGCATTTAATGCCTAAAAGAGCTCCTGATCAAACTATGCACTGTGGGTGACAATGATGTGTCAGCGTAGGTTCATCAATTGCAATAAATGGACTACTTTGGGGTCGCTGGGGGGGCGGGGGATGATGATAATGGGGGAGGCTGTGCATGTGTGGAGGGCAGTAGCTGTATAGGAACACTTTGTCCTGCCCTCTCAATTTTGCTATGAGCCCGAAACTGCTCTAAAATACAGTCTATTAAACAACAACAGAAACCCACGAGTTCCCAAACATAGAAACACTCAATAATGTGTGCTTTTATTACCTGCAAATATTGCTCAAGAATAACTAAAACAAGTTGTGAATCTTTACAAAGGAGAGTCTGATGATGATGATGATGATGATGATGAGACTTTCACTTAATTTAGATATTGCTGCCTTTTTATTAATCCCAATTTTACTTTTCGGGTGTTTTATCCTTTCTTGGTCCAGTTCTTACTAAACATAAAGAGGAATCAGTGAAATCTCTGACATTTTCTTTTTTCTGATCATTTTGTTTTGCTACTTTTTCAGAGGAGGACCCTTCCTTCCTTCCTTTCTTTTTAGGTTCTTGTGAAACCTGCTCTATTCTCTCCTCAGTAGGATATTTTGGTTCCATCTAATAAGATAGGCTAACACTGTGGAAAATTCAGCAGTGCACAGTGCACATGCCCAAATTGAGATTTTGAGGACATGTCAGACTTGAAACTCTCAGGTTTGTGCGGGGCTGTTGGGTGTAAGCACCTTCTAATCGGTTCACATAAAGGTGTATTGCTATTCAGATAATGTCTCCCACTGCTCAACAAAAGGTTGTTGTACTGAGCTGTGATTGTGACAAATGATTTACTATTAGGAACATTCTGTAATTATTGTTCGGTGGGACCGCAGACCGATACATCATTAACATGATAGACGGCCTTTTATATCAGCAAAAATAACTAAATTAATAAAAATGGCTTCATTCCAAACCCTGTCAGAAAGCCAATACTCAGAACAATCAAGTAGCAGTGATACCTGAGAAAGCCATAGCTTATAGCCCCCAACAAATCATGTTTTATGCATAAGCAATAAAATATTTGTATATATAAGCGCTATAATATAGATCTGTGTAACACAACAGATTTTTACAGATATCAGCTCTAAACAACAACAACAAAATATATATATATATATATATTTAAATAATTTCTCCCAAATGATCTAGATTTAAAGTTGTTTTTATGCAATTGGATTGCAGTTTTCGAATATTAGAATCTGCCTATCACATCTTTTATTTCAATTCTCAAGCACTGGGAAACATTTTAATAAGGGCCCGGCAGAGTAGAATGTCTTTCCTTGGTCTTCCCTCCTTCCTGTCTTCTTTCTTTTCTCCCCTTCTTTCGTTTTATGAACAAACTCCTAATTTATGCTTTCGGTCATTCACCTCACATTTCTTACGTTTTTCACAGAGAATTAAACATTTTTTTTATGATGAATGCAGTTTACTTACACCAAAACACCTCAAAGCCTCCAATTCTTTGCTCAAAATTGCCTCACGCACCTGCCGCACCGGCCGTAAACCCGCCGAAAGAATTGACGCGCAATGATGACGTTTGAAAAAGAAGTTAAGGGGAGGGGCAACTACAACCATAGAGTTCTAGTGGAAGCCTAGAGTTCTTCCTGTGGAGTTCTCGCGATGACATAGAGAGCGAGAACTCCTCCCATAATCCCTCCTCATCCCACAGATACTCCAACCTTGTTATGTCCATTGAATGTCCCATTTAATCTTTCATTAAAGTTGAAAACCATGATATACAGAAGTTGTCACTGAAGAAGAAGGCTATCTTTCAGTTTTGCAATCTCAAACAACTATGACTCCATAAAAATAAAACCTACTGGGCTGGCCAAGTGGTGCGTTGGTTAAGAGCTGGCTTGGCATGCCACCTCTGAGCAGCACGGCCCCAATTCAGGTCCCACATGAGGGCCAGTGACGCTGCACCCTCTACAGCTAAGATGGTGAACAACAGCTCGACCTAGAGCTGGGCTGCCGGGAGTCGCCTGAGAGCGTAGGCTGCAGTGGGGCTGGCCGGCAGCTGGTGGGCGCTTTCATGAGCTGCCAAGAGCCGCCATGAGCCAGTGAGTGACTGCCTCACCCAGGAAGAGCGCAATGATAATACCAACATGGGCCAGCGAAGTCCTCCACGACTAGATTGAACAACAAAAGGACAGCAACTTCTCTGTTCCCCTTCTCCAATTCCCCAACGCTGTTCCCCTCCCCCAATTCCCCAATAAAAAAAATCTTAAAAAAAAAAGAAAACACAAAAACCTACCACTGCACCTTTCAGTATCTTTGCTGTGGTTCTCATATTCAAGAAAAAAATTATTAACCATAATATTCAGTACAATGAAGTCAATAAAAATTTGAAATTCTTTAAAAATCTAGATTATCTAGTAAAAAAAAATTGACTATTAAAAAAATATAGGGCCGGCCGAGTGGCGCAATGGTTAAGAGCTGGCTTGGGACGCCAGAGGGCCCCAGTTCAGATCCCACATATGAGGGCCAGTGACACTGCCCTC